GATGGAGAGGAGAAAAATAATTTTCCTATAAACGTTTATTCATAACAAAATGTGGGCACTTAATGGATTGACTTTACCTTTTACGTGTAGTGAGGTAAGGGACGATCAAATTTATGTCACCGATTCATAGACAAAATTGAATTTAAAATCTAAACTAAATACTTTGGTTGACGACTTCCAAAGTAACATTGTCCGTTTCTGATTGTTTATATTTTACGCTAGTAGTATACACTTCAGTAAAACACGTAACGGTTTAAAGCAAGAAATAGTTAATCTATTTACATGGTATTTGAACTACGTTTGCAGCATCCGTGGTCACGGGGGGACTCCTGATACAGCAACTGCTGCAAAGCCTCCGAAACATATATATTTTTGGTTTTAAACCGCTAAAAGTGATTTTAGCGGTACACTATTTATAAATTACAATAGATATTAGTAATGATGTACAACTTTCAATTTGTATGCATGTACCTACTAACAACGACACTTAAATTATTCGAAAGTGACAAATAGGCAATTTCATAAACTTAATATAAGAACATCATTGGAGTTGGCCATTTTGCGACGGTTCGTTACAAGCTTATTTCCCATTCAGTACAAGTCTCGAAGTTAACAGCGCAGAATTTCAAACAGCGAATTATTACTGTTATGGGAGGTCGAAAATTATAAGTGTTTTTGTTTAAGAGTTTCCTTTTATTGCGGTCGCTCGCGCAACGCTAATAAATCTCGAGAATTGTGAAAAATTTACGCGTACAAGAATAAAAGTGCTCATTTCGTGAACGCAGCGAGACGTACTTCTTCGGTGAACTTTTTAAAACGCTTGTAATTATTTTTCAGCTTTCTTAAATATTCTACTGATCTATAAAAAGCTCGTCTAACGACTTCCGAATAAAGAAGTTTCATAAAGTTACTGTTATAAAAAATGTAATAGCATTTTAATTACCTACTAAAACTAGGTACAGATTTTTTTTTACTTACAAAATGTAAAGTTTCGGAAACTTTGGAACATTAACAAGGCATAGTACGTGCTCGTTGGCTAACAACGAGTTAATAAAAGAAATATAGGCTAATTGTGCGCGGTCGCGGGTTCGATCCCCACCGGGTCCAACTGTGATTTCTTTTAATCAATTTACATTTTTTCTGAAACTGTTGGACTACATCTGGAAATCTGGATATATTTTAGTGGGTGACAGAAAAATAAAAATACCGTCCACAGATGAAAAATTCGTTAAGTTTTATCGCGTTTCGTTTTAGTCTGTTGATTTCCGAATATCCAAAGCCAAAATCGAACGACAGAACATCATGTTTAAATATTATCAAGTGTGGACTTCACTTGATAATATTTAAACATGATTTCTCCATAGTCTTTCCCTATTATAAAAAATTTTGGGCATCCAAATTTGTTTTCCCCCCTTCTCTCCATATTTATAAATTTAAGTTACCCACGACGTCTTCCGCATGCGGTTGTGCTTGCAAATTCATTTTAAAAGATAGATATACTGTCCCGGATATTGTTTTCGGTCATTTAAAGAGGAATCTTCCTTTTTTGTTTTTTTTTGCGTGTTCGTTGGGGGAGCAAAAAAAAAAAAAAAAAAAAAAAAAAATTTTCCCTTTTTTCCCCCCCCCCCCCCCCTTTTTTTCCGGTGGTTGTTTTTTGTTTTTTTTTTTTTTTTTTTTAGGAAAAAAAAAAATTTTTTTTTTTTTTTTTTTTTTTTTTTTTGGGGGGGGGGGGGTTTTGTTGTTAAAAAAAAATTTTTTTTTTTTTTTTTTTTTTTTTTTTTTTTTTTTTTTTTTTTTTTTTATTACAAAAAACCGTAGCCCAATTTAAGTTGTGTTCACCCCATGCCCCGCTGGGGGACACACATTTCGAATGTATCTCTTGTAATTTATACTTCTGGAACGTAAAAACATTGTATTTCATACTTTAGATTGCGTTATGTATCAGAATAAAAATATATAGCCTTTGTACTAGCTATGCAAGCGACTTCGTCCGCGTAGAATAGTTAGTTTCGACATCGAAATAACTTTTCAATGCGAATTAGTTTCTGAGCTTAGCGCTTTTTTAAACAAACAATCTCTCAGCTTTATATATAACATTAGTATGAAATGAAAAAGCCTTTATTTCGGATGCTACACTTTAAACTTACAATAATGAATGTTTCTTACTTATATGTACTTACAATTTTTATTTTCTACTAGTCTACTATCTATTCTATTGTTTTAATAAGCCTAGATCCGTGCCCCAATCGGTAAAGGCCTCCTCCAACTAAGACTTAATGTTCTTTTCAATTATTCTTACCCTCGTAGTTGCTGATGGTTGTTGGAGGATTGTGGTCATTTTCCCCCACGAGGACCAGTCGACTTGGGGGAGTATAATATAAGTATAGATAACAAAAATAAAACAACAAATGCTTTATTTCAAACTTGTGTACAAATTGCATTGTTTATAAGAGATAGACGCATGTTAAGTGATATCTAACTAATATTTTCGATCGTATTTCGTAGTTAATGTCCTGTCCATTTAGACGATAGTTTGATTGAAAAATGTCGTATCGTGTAGTGTTAAACGAACACAACTAACATCTTTAGCGCTAGACGGTTTGTGTAATTAAAACCGCCGAACTAACGAAACAGGTTCGTAAAGAACATTCATTAAAACTTAAAATTTAATTCAGTATCTTGAAACACGACTATTCATCGCGTTAATTGAGTTGGCTTTTGACTTTAAAAATAGTTTATGCTGTCTACTTGGTACTTGTAATTACGAAAGTTCCTTTAAGATCCTTGATAACGTTCGGCATCTTGGATTAATTCGTAAGTAAGTAAATATTTCAAACTTTAAATATTTCTCACATATTATTGCACGTATATAAATTAAAAATCGATTTTAGATTGGAAACGATTAACAACTCGGGCTTAATTTATGTTTTAGTACCATCATGTAAAATAGCCTGTGAAAAATATTAAAGTTTTCAAATGTTAAACTTTGTAATTTCATCTTTAATGATTTTTTTAAACCGCAAAGCAATGTCATTTCAACCTTAACGAGCTTAATTGCGCGATTTTCGATGATGCCGGTTCAAGATCTACCCTTGTCGTAATTTTTTTTCAATTTAAATTTGATGTTTACTTTATAAAGTAAGTGGATATTTTTGTAATAAAAAACAAGCATGGGGTTAATGTGATGGAAGATGAAATACCCTAGCCGTATAACATCTGAACAAGATCCGCTGTCGACCTGTTTTTGGATTTGGATTTTCGGAAATCCGCAGACTGAAACCAAAACTGCGATTATCTATTCGACCACAACCAAATTTCACAGAAAAAATGACAAACATGTTTCAGAAAACAATTTACGTTAATTAGTGTATAGGTAATATTGAAACTGCGTATTCATTTTTTAGTAGGTTTTTTTTTTTTTTTTTGATATTTTTTTTTGTATGTTTTTCACTTTTTTCTACCTGTTTGTTAATTGCAATGTTTACCTTGACTTTTTTTCAAGTTTCATTTCACCTTATTTAGACCAGGGCGAGGAATCATTTATTTTTCAATCGACTATTTTACCGGTAATATAATAGTTAATATAGCTCTCAACTTTAGTAAACCAGTAAAAAACTTGGTGTGAATTTGGACCAAACATTCTCCTGGACGACACATGTTGAGCAAATCAGTCGTAAAATATATGCCGCTTCGAGTATGTTAAGACGACTCAGCAATTTCCTTCCCATTCGGACTAAAACTACTCTAGAATAAACCCTTCTCTTACCACTGCTATACTATGCTGATGTATGATCTACGAATATAAATGAGGAACTATTAGATAAGCTGGAACGTCTGCAAAATTTCTGTATCCGATTTATGTTTGGACTACGAAAAAAGTAAGGGTGGCTGTCCATTCGCCTTCGGCGAGAATCACATGTCCTTCGGCTCCTATACTCTATTCTCTTCGCCCCAAATTCTCTTCCTTATCTTAAATCTAATTTTAAATAATTGGGTCCCTACTGTAGTTGTAGTTTGCGATCATCGGACCGTCATATTCTTGAGGTTCCTTCTCACAGCTCCAATTTCCAAGGTACGCCAAGGAGCCATGCGTATGGAACGCCTTACCCGTTTCCATACACAGGGCTCCTTCTATCTCATATTTTAAACGGCTCCTTTATAATCATCCTATCATTTCCTGTCTGTCATCTGAGTAAAGTCACTATCTATTTTTGTTTAATATATTTAGTCCTTTCGTTTAAGTTAGTAAACATGTAACCTTTTTTAGATCTGTATGCTTTTATTTTAAGTTCTGTGTTTTTTTTGTGTTTATGATTATTTATTGTTTGTGTTAATTTTATTCGTTTACCTTGCACATCTCATTTTCTTAGCATTTCATAATTTTAGGTTGCCTGGAAGAGATCGCTCGTTAGCTATAAGGCCGCCTATTGCTCTCAATTCTAGTATATACGTTTAATTTGTAATATTATTATGTTTTGTGCAATAAAGAATATATAAATAAATAATATAAATATAAAAGTTGTATAATAGTAAATAGTCATGCGGTACTATAATTTAATAACAAAATAAAGTTAACGTAATGAAACCCTTTTACTATAGTATAAATAAGACGATAAAATATATATGCTTTTAAGCCAGGACTAGAACCTGCTACAGTGGATGTGTCATATCAATACTCAACACCTATTTTTTGTCTTAATTGGCAAAAGCCATGTTTTCATTCGCTTAATTACTGTTCCAATTGCGTTTATCTTTCCTCGTTGGTGTTTCATGTCATTCGTTAAAATAGTTGATGTAAGTGTATAATTGTGGTGTAACATACCAATGTCACATGGATTCCTCATATTGTTATATCACTGGTAGCAAATAAAATTATCACAATTTAAACATTTGCATTATTAATGTTCTGAAGCAGGTAGAACAACGTGTTTTGTAGTACTCCCGTGAAAACGTTTATTATTGTTTTTCTACTATACCAGTGCTGAAGTCATTTATTTCAAATGAATGTCAATATTGAGAGCCGACAGAATGAAGGTAAGGAATTTGCCGTCCTTTTAATCTACAATATAAATGATAATTAATTCCGTTTATACTGTTCTTCTGAAGTGTATTTTTTAAAATGTTAAAAGAATTGACATGTTTGTGATAGCGTAATCAATAAATGTATTCTACATCACAAATACACATCGCTAATATTACACAAGTTTGCATTTATCTCTACACGTAAATACTGTCTGTAGTTTACGCGAGTAGTACACATTTAAATAAAACAATCGGGACGTACTTAACTAATATATGTCGCATTTCAAACCGTTACAGTGTTTTATTTAAATATGTCTACACTTCCAAATCTTTATATATCCGTATATTTTTATAACCTTCTTTATACATTCCTAAGTAATTGCTTAACTCCCTTTTTGCCTTTTTACCTTCAATCTGCAGCTGATCAATCACTCGGCTGATCAATCAATCCGTAATCATTGGAGTGACTAAGAGGCGGAGTGAGCTAAAAAAATCTTTCAGTTTCAGAAGCCGAGAGTCACACCGATCCCATGGTGATATTGGAGGAAGCTTTAACGATATGCAAATTCGGTAAATTTCATATGAAATTACTATGTGCGGTGTTTTGTGCTATAGTGGCGTCTCTCACTGTCACAACTACGTCGTCCTTCATTCTACCGATTGCTGAGTGTGACTTAAATATGGATATAATGGAAAAGGGCTGGCTGAATTCCATGCCGTTCTTTGGTGAGTAACTAAATTTAAGATAATTACTTTAGAATTAAGTTAAAATTCTGATTTCATTAAATTGCTGAAAACTTTTATATTTTTCAAATGTTATCGCACATGAAGGCACTATATAATTGAAAGAAACAATTATATAAATCCTATGCTTGTCTGTTCAAAAAAGACAAATAAATATCTCAAAATATTGCGATATCAAATTTCCAAAAATATATATTTTTTTTTTTTAACTAAATTTGAAGTAATTGCTAAATTATGACGTCATTTGATAATAAGCGATTTTATCCTTCTTTGTGATTATCAATAACTTGTGCAAACATACATTATTTAAATAATAATTTTGCTAATTCATTCTTATCCATTTTGGACTTAAGTAATTAAAGTTTCTTACGTCAAAGAACCGCATATACATTGTTGATCTTGTTTCTTTGTGTTAAGAGACTCTAAATGGATTTCAGGTCAAATCGGGGCTAGTCTATTCACAGGTTTTCTGGTGGATACATTTGGCCGTCGATTGTTCTTGGTATTTGGGAATCTCGGCGTGTTTATATGTGGCCTCCTTGAGGGCACAAGTCAGACGTATTGGATGCTGGTTATTGTAAAAATGTTACAGGGAATTGCGTGAGTTTTATTTTAGATAATTGTTCGATTCAATGTACTGATTTTAGAGAAATTGAGGGAATTCAAATAGAAATACAGTCAGCATATTTTGTGTTGAGCTATGTAGCTCATAAGTGACTGTATGTGTATAAACTTCGAGAATATTTTTTTAAACCTAAACCTAATATATATATATGGACGAGTCATGCGTTTGTACGTTTGTTCATTAACACTTAAATCACTACAATTTAATAGAGACTCGCGCGAATTTATAAATAATAATATAGAACAAGTTTTGTCTCCCTACGCGGAATAGGGCGTATTCCTAATCGGTTTTATTTACAAGCAGATAGTTGATTAGACTTCATGCCCTGCCCGACCGAAACTATCTATTGTTTTCCCGGGATTCAACCCTAACTCTCGCGCTTAGCGCATTGCTAAGCAAAACGTTTAACCATTTAGCTAAAAGCGGTCTTCATAATCATTAACTTTTTAATTAATCATTTCTATTATGACTATAACTGACTCCGAATTGATATTTTTGCGAAGGGAATTTATTTCCAGCCTTTTAATTAACTGTTTGAAGTCGGTTAGTTTTTTGTTTACAATAACCGGTTTTCATGGCCGACTAATCAATAAAAACGAAAGAGACTTGCTTTCGCGGCACCTTTGTAGTTCAAATTGTATAAGACTAACAAATTGAGGAGTACACACAGATACAGAAGTACTGTACATATAATATCGCTAATAGGTACCCGTACGTAGAAACGTTAGGATTACCGCATATTATACAGAATGAAAAACAAATATGTATAGCCCCTCCAATGCATGCAAGAAATATCGGGTCGCAGTTAAAATTAGGTTAGCCCTTACATTTCCCGTTTTAAACCATATAATGTGTATAAGATATGCGTAAACTACATAGTGTTCTTAAGAGTAATGATAACTTGTATAAACTTGCTAGGAGCTGGCTTTTATGATAGAGGAGGCCATACAAACAAGGCATTCACTTGATGGTAGGGGAAATACCCAAGCCATATAACAAAAAATAGCAACGAGCCTCAAGTCAAGATCTCTGTTACAGAATGAGTATATCGTATGCCGCGATATCCACCACGCTGTCTGAGTTCATTCACAAGGAAATACGCGACAGAACGTTATTACTTTTGGGTGCATTCATGTCTATAGCTGTAGTCATCGTGTCGCTGATTTCGTGGGCGATCCTACCGCAGACTCACCTGAACTTTGTCGTTTGGAAGGGATATTTCGGTAACGTTTCTTTTACTTTAAAGTACCAACGATTATTTTTATCTATATTCTCTATCCATTTTTATTTAAATAAAATAACAGTTAACGGTTTAAAACGCGATATGTATAAGTTAAAATTGTTTGGAAAATAATTTAACAGAGGCCCGATGTTTCGGATGCTTTTCAGCAGCTGTGGTCACGGGAAGACTTGACTAATATATATCGCGTTTTAAACCCTTAAAGTGATTTTTTTAAATATATACTTCTGGTTTAAACTAAGAAAGTATCAAATTTAAAAAAATAATAAAGAGAAATATAAGCGTTTTGTCGCCTTATATGAAAATTGTTAATTTATTTTTTGTTGATTAGAAGTTACGTCATTTCCTACTGCGTTTTTTAAACTGTTATAAGTCATAATAATGAATAGTTGATACTTAAATAAAACTCTTTTTACACAGAAATATTTTGAAAAACGTTGTAGATAAAAATAAATTAACTGTTAAATTTAACGTTTTAAACCGTTAAAGTGTTATATTTAAATATCTGCTACTTGCGTAACACACAATATCTAGGGAAGTATATCAAAGATAATATTTAAACAATGATTGTTTTACATCTTACTGTTTTTATTTTGATAATATCTTAATATTGAGTTATATCAACATTCACTAATTAAGCGTTGAAACACTTAAACCAATGTTTACAGAGTTACACTCGTGGAATATATATTTGTATGTTTGTTCGATATGGAGTCTTTTGGCCTTCCTTCAATTCTATTTTCTGCCCGAGAGTCCTAAATTCCTCTTATCAGAGGGTTACAATGAAAAAGCGCTGGAGGTTTTGAGATTTATCTACACTGAGAACACAGGGAAGGACGAGGATTCATTTCCTGTGAGTATTAATTTCTCTTTTGACCGCCTCTGTAGCCAAATGGTTAAACGTATTGCCTTGCATTGCGTTACGCGAGAGAGGTTCTGACTTCGAATCCCAGGAAAACAAAAAATGTTTCGGTCGGGCAGGGTACAGAAGTCTGACCAACTTCTTGCCTGTTAAGGAACGGATCAGTGAAACGGACACAGAAATGTGTTCGCCCCATGCCCGGGTGGGAAACGGGATTTCAGACATTAATTTCTCATTTAATTAAAGCCTTGTAACAACTAAGAGATATCTCTTTCAGATCCACAACTGATCCGTTTAACTAAGGAAGTAAAGATAGGCTAGGATTCTTAAGTCGTAATAAGCCGTTTAAATTTTCCTCTAACCGCCATAGATTATCTGAAAATATGGAGCAAGCCAAACTATTGTTTTAAAAGAACATTTGAAAGTGTCGGTTGTACATCTCAGTGATCATTCTTATTATGTAGTTGATCAATGACATAGAGACACAGTTTATCGTTTTCGTATGTTAGAATAGCATTATTTAATTTAAAAATCGAAAATAATTTGGAAAAATTTTTCCCCCCGGGGGGGGGGGGGCCCCGGCCCCGCCCGCCCCCCGGGGGGGGGCCCCCCCCCCTTGGGCCCCCCCCCCCCCCCCCCCCCCCTTTTTTTTTTTTTTTTTTTTTCCCCCCCCCCCCCCCCCCCCCTTTTTCTTCCCCCCCCCCCCCCTTCCCGTTTTTTGTTTTTTTTTTTCCCCCTCCCCCAAAAAAAAAAAAAGTAAAAAAAAAAAAAAAATTTTTTTTATTTTTTTTTTTTTTTTTTTTTTTTCCCCCTGGGCGCCCCCCCCTTTTTTTTTTTTTTTTTAAATTTTTTAATTTTTTTTTTTTTTTTTTTTTTTTTTTTTTTTTTTTTTTTTTTTTTTTTTATAGCATTATTTATTTTTTACGCAGAATATGTTTATCAAATGCTTATATAAAAGTTAATGTTTCTTAAGCATATTCAGTACAAGGAAATCGGTAAAAATGTAAGTCAATCAAACTATGTATTTGTTCTAGATAAAGTCTTTGAAATGTGAAATACCGAACAGGCCAGATAAAAAGATGAATCTGAGAAAACAAATAGTGAGAAGTTTATTTGAAGTGAAACATCTCTTTGATAAAGTCGTTGTTTATCGACTTTTATTGCTCAGCTCTATGACGTTTGTTTGCCTCTCTACGTAAGTGTTATAATTACAATTACATGGCTAAAAAGGTTCTCGCTTCTGGTTCGCTGCGGAACTGTACTACGTTTTGTGTTACACCTATTAACAATTATTAATGTAAATCGCCATATACAAGTTTGCCTGAAAGAAATCGCGTTTAGCGATAAGGCTGTCGTTTCTCACTACATATTTTTAGGACAGAATAGAATAGAAATACGTTTATTCAGAAAATTCAGAAAAAAAACAGTTAAATGTATTGTACAAACATACATAAAATATTAAATAAATACACCAATATAGTTGCCTCTGAAAAGGAAGCCACTCACTAATGTCCCAACACTGATATTCTGTGGCCCCTTCAGAGGCAGAGCTAACGCAAGCGAGGTAGTTCGACATTTTTCTATTATCCACACAAACGCTTTAAGAAATTACACTGATACTTCAAAAATTGTAATAAGCTCTAATAGATAGGTACGTGCTACATTTTCACTTACGTTTCCGTTTGTATTTTCTTCTTTTTTGAATCTTATTCCTGTCACGTTTTTGTGGTGGCAAAAGTAGTGTTTGCTAATTTGTTCGTTTAGTAAGAAAAATTAGTCACAATAATAATGGGGAAGTATGTACAATTCATCGACAATTACTAAATTACGTATACAAAATAAAAAAGAAGTCAGAGGGTTGAGGGTTGGATTCTCACCGGGTCCACCTTATTTATCAAACATGTTGAACTTTGTCTAATAAATTTAAACACTTTAACGATTACAAACATCTAAGCACTGATTGAAATTTTTACCTGCGTTTTACTTGCCAATTTACTAATGACCAAAGACAAAAAAATTGACAGCCCATCTCGTTTATATGTTATTCCCTTATACCACTTTCGTTGGAGTTAACTCTATGTCTTCCAATGTCGAGACAAAGCCACATGATAAACCTTATAAATATTTCGCTGTTTAACATTTTAAACAGCAAAATATTTCATTTCAACTTATTTACAAACGATTTCTTGTCTCACGGCTGCCGCAAAGCATCCGAAATGTCGAGCCGTTGTTTAAATAATTTGTAAATAAGTTTTACTTAAATATTTCGCTTTTTAGATCATTAAAGTTTTATATTTAAATGTCTGATTCTCGCGTAAGATACAAACAGTACGTAAAACTTATTTTTCAGGTACACTTGCTTGAGGCTATGGTATCCACAGATATCAACAGTAGTAGAACACTATTATAAGGATCATGGAGAATCTTCTCAGTTCTGTGAAATGATAAATTATAGAAATAACCGAAACACGAGCGTAACTGGTGAAATTATTCCGACTGACATTTGTGTGCCGGTAAATTACTATATTCATGTTACATCATGTATTTTAATAAACCACTTTTAACGGTGTTAAAGGTGAAATACATAAGTTATCTATTTTTAATTATTTCAACTAAGACTCGATGTTTCGCCGTAACAAACGCTTTATTGTGCTCTTCATAAAAGGTCACGGGCAAACAATTAAAAAATCAGTTAACTGATATATTTCCCGTTTTAAACCGTTAACTGTGTTTTTATTAATGTGTACACTCACCTTAACTAAGGATAATACGTTTTTATATAATGTTCATTTTATTAAGATTTTAATCTAAAACGCCTAATTATACACGATTCCTCATAAATGTATAACAAGTAACTAATATTAGTGTTTGTACCTTTGATATTGTCTTACTTATAAGGAAATTATCTACTTAACATTTCAGCAAGTAAGTGGGACAGAGACCTACCTAAATTCTATACTTTTAGGCGTGGCCAGTCTGGTCTTCGTCGGTTTGAGCAGCATCTTAGTGGACTGGATGGGCCACCGTCCCCTCATCTTCGCGGTGCAATTATCTTGCGCTGCGTGCGCGGCGGGCTTGTACTTTACCAACTCCTCCATAGAAATTGCGATTTTAATTTCCTCTATCTGTGCACTTATGCAGGCTAATGGGTCGTTACAAGGCAATATTATAGTGAGGATATTCCCTACTAAATTGCGGTAAGTCTTAAAGCTAGCACTTAAGACCCTAATGATCCTGTCCGTTAACGAGGTGGTGGGCAGTTATTGTGGCTCCTTGTACCTCGAAATTGCCCTTGACTATAAGAGAACGTTCTCGTATATGAATATTAATAAACCCCACATGTTTTGAAGCACTGTAAAGGACGCGGCCTGTTGTAAATACAAGTTTACGACAAGGGACAATGATCAAAACTATTCGATCTCAAATTCGAGACGATTTATTAGTGAAACGATAAAAATAAGTTCGATTTTAACTGGATCTCACATCGAATTCATTTTAAATTTTATCTAAATTATATGCAATTTGGCAAATCTATTAGGACTTTGTAGGAGGAATCCGTTTTCGCTCTATATCCGTAAATTTCCAATAATCCAAAGCCAAAATATATCTTAACTAGATGTTATTGGGCTGAAGTCTTACACTTGAAGTTTCATTATAAATTAAATAAAAAGGAAGTTTAACTAATATATTTTGAATTTTAAACAGTTAAACGTGTTCTATTTACAGTTTTTACTACTCTCTTAATAGATAATACTTATTTTGATATTTTTGTATATTTAATGTATATTTTATTATACGTTTCAGCACGTTATCATTCTCTATAGTAATGATAGTTGGACGTCTTGGGTCGCTTCTGGGCAATATTTTGTTTCCTGTTCTGCTGGAGATGGGATGTATGGCGCCCTTCCTCACGTTGTCAGTTGCTTCTATATGTAAGTGCGATGATAAGATTTAAGATATCAACTATCCTTTGTGGGGCATGAGACGAACATATTAAAATGTCCTGTTACGATTATATTTACATGCACACACAGTAGTTCAGGCGTTCAGTGCTCTACCTCCTAAAACAATTTAGTGTTTCCACGGGATTCGAACCTACTTTCCGTGCTTGACGTAATGCTAGTCAATACATTTAAGCATTAAGCTATGTAGTACCAGAGCGAGACATGGGCCATAGTTTACTTCATTTAATACTAGTAGACAGCCATTTTGAATTTGTTTTTTTATTCACACGAATACGAATTGCTTTTATCGCATTTTAGGCTATTTCACTTGAATTATTTTCGATGAAAAAGACAAAACAAAGTCGAAATATTTTATCAGCGCATAAAATATTATTTCAATATATGAATCTGTACTTTAAAAATATTGTATGGAACTATGATCTTGAGTTTGGACCCGTGCGCGTCGTCGATTTTTAAATGTTATGTAGATGTAAAACACCTTTAACAGTTTAAAATGCAAATGTATTGGTAATACCATTTGTTTTAACATACGGCCCGACGCTTTATGCTTTTCAAGGCCGTGGTCTCGGGGCAAAAATAAAAGTGTTTTATTGAATGATAAATGAATAAAAAATATATTATTTACACGCATAAACTAAAGACAATACTTAAGTCTAAACATTTTTTTTTTTTTTATTTTAGGTCAAGCAAGCGTAGTATACTTCCTACCTGATCCAAACAAAGAGAACAAGACTGGTGACAAATAGAGTATTTTAAAATATAGATTTAATATTTGTTTTTTTTTTTACTGCAATTGCCGAACACATAAGTGTCGAACTATTGCTTAGACTTCTGCGCCCTACTCGACCTGAAATTACCAAAGATTGATCTACGGTGGCGGTTTTTCAACATAAAAACCTCAGGACTGGAAGATTGTGAAAATAATTCATTCAGGTCATTAGACTATTTTTGTTGTCTTTTTGTATTCGTTAGATAAAGGTTCGTATCCTTGGAGAATTACATTGCCTGTCATCGGTAATGACCTTCATAGTATCGTCTTACGCATTTTCGTGCAGAGGAGGCCTAGAAAACGGTCGCCACTATCTCCTATCTACTGAGAGCTGCAGAGCTGCAGAAAGAGGCCTAAAAACTGAGAGAACGTGGGTCTAGTGCCCTACCACGACTGGCGAGACGGGGATCATGGACCTATGCATCTCCAAGATCTTCCCACATTTCGCTTTGTCTGAAAAGATTGGTGATGAGATGAGATGAACCTTTATCTATACTAATATTATAAAGCTGCATAACTTGTTTGTTTGAACACAGGAACAATTACTACCACTACTAGTGTGAATTAAAAAAATGTATTAGTTTGAGTATTTGTCGAGATAGGCTTTAGGCTATAAACATCACATGGCACGCGGAGCGAAGAAATAGGGGGAAACATGGAAAAAATGGGGGAGAAATATTCATCTTTGAAGGTTTCCGTTGTGTACGCTGTAAAAGTTTTTGACGCGGACGATGTCGGGGGCACAGTTAGTACTATTAAATCCGAGATTTCTATACATATAGCGAAGTATATATTCTGTCGTCATATTGTTAATTACAGACCTGATCACATCACATACTCAATACCGGCACGTAATTGTTTAGAGAATTGGGACTTATAAATAAGCGTCCCTAAGCTTAACTAATACAAATAGAGTATAAATAAAAGAATTGTTATTTTTTTCTTTATTCATCTTTAGACATGCTATTTATCCATTTTGCCAAAAATATCTCTTTCAGACTTTCGTGGACCTAAAATAAGTCGTTAGCTTTTCTTGTAAGAAAATAGGTTCGTCTAATGTGGTAATGGAAAAACCTTTACAGACCTAACAACGTCGGATTGGCGTAAGGTTAGCAGTGTATGGATAATAATCAATCAATCATGGGCTCACCGACACTTTTCTAAAAGTCGAAACATGTTGGACTTTGTCTGAGAATCTGACAATTGCCAACCACCGTTCACGTTTCAGTCTGTAGATTTCGGGATGTACAAATTCAAAAATAGTGTCTTCATATTATGCGTACTTTTTTACATGTCAAAAGGTTTACTTACTGTCACATTTCAAGTCAAACCTTTTAATTGTCTGTTGTTTTCTCCGACAAAAAAATAAACTTTTTCCTTCATAACTCACTTCACCGCGAAACTATACAATAAGAGCCTTGCAGACCCATAAATTAGTTTACGCTGTCTCTCCGGAAAAACGCGTAATTTTCTAAACTCTTACCTCGCTGTGAAACTTATTATGGAATAAAAACATTGCATTTTTCCACAGTGCGACACGCTCACTACATTCCACATCATTATAGCCCGGGTAGTAATTTTAAAAATTCTTTTTAAATTTCTCATTTTCCCGCTCGCCTTCCGAAACGAACGCTTTATTCTTTTAATGAAGTTTAATTTTAATTTCTCATCAAGTTTGTCGGATGATTGAATTCGAACTTTACGAATGATTCAAGGATATTAATGAAACAAATAAAATTATGATTTTCGTTAATTAAATTTTGGTAATAGATTTGCAAGCAGAATTCCTTAAAAAATTCTTATAATCTATTTTGTACCTAAATAAAACTTTTAACGGGTTAAAACGCAAGTTGTAATGACGCTAAAAGTTTTTAATTGAAATGTGTACTCCCTACTCGTGTAAACTATAGATAACTCAAAATCTAATATAGATTGAAAGAAGCGATGACACGGGCGGGATTTTAACTTACGACCACTTTCTCTGTTATCGCCCCCCAATTGGGCTTTTGTATGTTAGTAAGGCACTGTGGCTGGGATTTGAGACTTTTACAACCTATTCTTTAATTTGCTAACGAAAGCATACCGAAATGTTCTAATCATAATAATAATATAAAATACAACAGCGATTTAATGTTTCCTACTAACTATGTACTATACCTACCACTTAGTCGGGAATGCATAATGATACCATTAAAGCTTAAACACTTAAATAAGATCCAATAATTTATTTCAACAGCAAAGATAAGGGAGTGATTATTCATACGAGTGCCTTATTAGTTAATTTATATGTTAATGTACGGTTAAACCTTTTCTATGATAAGAGAAACAAATAGGCTACTCCAGCTATGTTTCTACACAAAATGTTGACTTATTTCGCCTCTAGGTGGCGGTTACATTTGTGATTACAGAATTTCAATATTCCTACCGTAGGTACATTTAGTGGAATCTAACATTGAAATAAAACACTTTAACGGTTTAAAACGTGAAATATTAGTTAAACCCTGGGGAGCTGCTGCAAAGCATCCGAAAAGTCGGGCCGAAGTTAAAAATCATTTAAATAAGTTTAACTGATATATCGCGTTTTAAACCGTTAAAGTGTTTTATTTAAATGTGTACTACTCGCGTTAACTTTAGACAGTATGGAATCTAACATGTTTTAGAAAAAGTATTAGTTTTGAAATACACGTTGGTTGTTGGTTAGAATCGAACCCAATGCCCGTTGAACGATACTTTGCTGCAATTAGACCTAAGCCTGTCACTGCAATTAAGTTCATAGCCTCTGCGAGTAACCCTTTTTCCACCGAACTCATTTCTGTAATTATTCACACGGGCACGTAGTCGATCAGACGTCTGTGCCCTGCCCAAACAAAAAGATATTGTTTTTCCCGGATTCGAACCCAGGAACTGTCGTGCTCAATGCAGTACTAGGAAACGCTTTAAACTAAGTACGTAACGTGCATATTAGAGTATTGGATACTGGTTATTAAATTAAAAAATAATTGGTCTTTGCAGTTATAATTATTATAACGATGATAATAAAATGTGCCAATAATTTACATGTAATGAGATATTTTAATGACTCCAAATAATATCGATGTTTATTTTCATTATTTGTCCCGTGAAATATTATTTAATTTGTATTAAAATTTATTAATTGTTTTCATGCAGTTGGTTAAGCATGTTTGATTTAAAATATATATTTTCCAAGATAAAAAATATGTTTTCGCTATTGACGAAGGCAGTCCATTTTATAAGATGAAAAATTTACAATACGTAATATGTATGACTGCCCTGTAGCTGAATGGATTAACGTGTTGCCTATCATTGCATTAAACGCGAGAGGCCTGGTGTTCGAACCCGGGGAAAAAAAATTGTTTCGGTCGGGCAAGGCAGAGAAGTCTGATAAACTGCTTACTTGTAAAAGAACCGATTAGTGAAACAGACAAAAAAAAAGTATGCCCCTGTGGTCCACGTAAGGTAATGGAATTTCATTATAGCATTTCAAACTGTACAGCTCTTCTTACTTTCTTTCTTCTTTACTTTATCATTTTTCACTTTCTTTCTTCTTCAATACAGCTGTTAATACTTTTTTTCTTCACTATATCATATCTTACTTTCTTCTTATTTAAATAAAACCTTTAACGGTTTAAAACGCAATAAATATTAGTTAAACTTGTTAGCTTTGCAGCAGCCATGGTCACGGAGAGACTAAAGATGGAGGGTGACTCTGTCGTCAAATTAAAAACTGCTACGCTGGCACAATCTGTTTCATCGAAGTTGGTATTTGGTAAAACTGGCCTGGCTTTCTTTTTTCTTCCCTATAACAATTTAAGAATTTTTCTCAACCTCTAAATGTGATCGGAAATGGACGCAGCGAGTTTATTTTAAAAATGAACAAGCGAATCGATATTAGACCGCTCTCTATTCTCGCCGAGTCTCAGTAAGTCGAGTCAGGGTAGAAGCAATTAGCTGCGGAAATAGTTTTTCCTCTATCTTCGTATACAGATTCACATCACGGCTGTTCCCAAAGAAATGGAGCGACTTCTGATTTTGTCGAGTCCACGGAAGTTATGATATCAAGAATTATTGTTGCGAAGTATGTTTGCCAATCGCGTTGGGGAATACTCGATTCTCTATTAATTAGGAATGTTTTCTTCGAGATCCTTTGGGAGACGGTAAATATTATATTTACAGTGATACGCGCGAACAGTTATTTTTTATTTATAAAAGGTCTACCAACTAGAGTACATCAGCCTTTTTACGTACCCCCATTGATTAGTTTAGTACATTTGTGGTTTGGGAGTCACCTTTAAATTTTGCCCGTATGTCGGCAACCGACGTGCCAATCTGTGAGTGTTTGAATTCGAGCGACGACTTCAGCCAAGTAGCAGACAAGCAAGTGGACTATCAACGAAGACTATTATTGTCTTACAGATAGTGTACAATAATACTATTTACCTATCCATGGTTATAACTTATACATATAATAAATATGTAAATCAGCGCCTGTTTATTCATAAGAAGCATTTGAATTTAAAAAGTGTTTCATGGAATCTTTTGAGTAATTTTTTTTAATGAATTCAAAGAAGATACTTGTTTAGTTATAATAGCGACATCGTCTACCTTTCGTGTCAGAATGCATACCGAGCACTCAAAGCCAAATAAGTACCAAGGAGTTATGGTGTTTCGTGTTATTATTCATTGTATTAACAATCTTATATATAGCTATTAGATATTTCAATATTCTAATAACTTTTCATTGCGATCTGTTTGGAATATTATAAATAAAATTGCGGGGGTAGTTTAGTTTTTTGATACAACAAAAGAAGCCAGCGCCCGCTGTCAGACTGTTTTGAGCGCCGTTCTTACGAGCTGGTTGTGCATGTGTGACTGTCGATTAAGAATAAGAGTTTTAACGCCCGCATGTTAGACAGACTACTGATTATTGTTAAAATTGATTCCGCGAGTGCAGTGCGT